CCTCTGACCCCTTTCATACGGTGCTGTCTAAATCTGCTTCTAAGGTTCAGATCACTGTGTGAGTTCCAGAGCCGCCCTGTTGCGCAAAAGGCCGGATCACTTTCCTTCGGATCACCTCTCGCTGGCTCCCGTTATTGCTGGGGGTTACAGCACTTTAAGGTGTGAGGCAGGAAGAGGGTCACCCTGCCCCAGGTGTTTCTCTCTGAAAACATTTGCTTCCTGGTGTCGTTGTCTGTGATCCCTCTGCCGGAGTGAAGTGCGGGTGTGGAGAGGCACGAGTACTTGGACAGCGTGAGCAGCGCCTTGTATCTAACAGCACGTCCACTTGCCAGTCTTTCAAGTGCTCGGTGTATTTCATTTCCAGGTCTGTTTATCTACTGCACGTGTAGAGTGTCCTGGTCGTGTCTTTATGTGCTGCGATTTCCAGAGGACCCGTGTGTGCGTGTGTGTGCGTGTACGTACCACCTAGCACAATGCCATGAACAATGATATTTGAATAATGCCTGTGCTGTTGATGAGGTTCACGAGCGCTGGTGGAGAAGGGGTCGGCTGCGCCTTTTAGTGCTCTTGCTTTACTAGAAGCTGACACAGAAACAGCGTGGTCTAGATAGGGAAGCGACGAACTGGGGTGTTTCTGAAGGTAATAAATAACCTACCTTGAGTAAGATAGCGACAGGCACTTTCTGAAGTGTGTTACGTGCATGAAATACACAGTTCCCTCCTGCAGTCGGTTGGTTGAGTTCCCTCATCTCAGAGCTAAGGAACCTCATGCAGAGGGAAGTTAGGTAACTTGCTGACGTCATATGGCAAGTAAGCGTGGCGCCAGGTTCTACACAGTCACCTTGATGCCGCCTCGGCACCCCAGCTGCTCAGCCCTCTCGGGTGGGCTCCCTGCAGGCTGAGCTGCCCACCCGGAAGCCCTCTGCTCAGTTCATGGCTGCGCGTCTTTCTGGAACATCAGCAGCTCTGCTCTAGATTTGTCCATTTCCTCCCTCAGGATTCTTACAACCCATCTTTCAAAGATGGTACGTTCTGTGCCGTGTAGAACACAGTTTGTGGTTTATAATACACACGCACACACACACACACACACACACGGGCTGCTTTGGGGGAAGAGAGTGATAATAAATTAATGGCGTATTTAGAAGTGGGTGGATTTGTTGGAACAGATAAAAAAATCCATCTTTCAATATCTGTATTTTCTAATTTGAGCACTCCTTAGAATTTAGGATTCGACTACACGAAACATTCTTAAAGCATCCTGATCGTCCTTGTTGCATATTTTACATGTTCCGGTGTAAAGGGAAAGCTTATGTTTCTGTACAAGTAGTATTTCATCATCTCTGACACAAAGTTCAAGAGAGCTCAGTGAGAAAATCCTCGTGTTTGGGAGCGTTGAACAGACGTGTGTAACTGTTGCGTCAGCTTTCCAAAGTAGTTTATGCAGGGCCCCTTGAGTAATGTATCCGCTTCTAAATGAAAGCGTGGTCGGCGCTGGTACTCCTGCCCACAGCGCAGAGCGGGGACAGCGCAGAGCGGGGACAGCGCAGAGCGGGGACAGCGCAGAGCGGGGACAGCTGATTCCTGCCGTCGGCACAGGTTGCTCTGAGTAGCTTACTGCTGTGGGTGAGAGGCAGAGGGGATCGGCCCTCCTTGCCATTCCCTTTGTTAGAGCCACAGCCTCCCTGAATGTGCACAGAAACCGCGGGAGTTCTCACCAGAGATGTTGCACGGCTGTGACCGTGGCGTGGCTCCAGGACTGCGCTGTTACTGCCCTCATCGCAGCCTTTGCTCTCTGGGCTTCTGTCAGCAGAAACACCGCCCCTCTGTTCTCTTCTCCGGCATCCTTTGTTTGCCCCGGACCTAGAACCTCACTAAGCGCCACAGACACACCTGCTCATCCAGTCTTCACTGTTATTCTTATAGTGTTATAGCTTCTGTATGTTATCCTTATGTGTATTCTATGTTATCCTTATGTGTATTATTGTCTGATTATTATTGCTTTGGTTTCACAAATTAAGGAGCCGAGGTTCAGAGAGTTTAGATCATTTGCCCGAGTCACACAGCTAGTGATGGAATCAGAGATCAGAATCCGGGCATTTTCTGATTTGAAGACGGTTCCTTGCCCATCTGTCATGGATCTGGAAGGGCACACTGGTTTCCAGCCCCTCGTTTTGTGGATGATCACATTGTAGCTCACAGAGAGGGACATGCCAGGGTCTCAGGCCCCGCCGTGGTCTTCAGACCGCTGTGCTCTCCCCGCTGCACCACGGGACTCCCAGTTGTCACCCTTTCTCTGGACAGTGGCTGACCACTCACACCAGGTGTCCTGAATGCGTTTGCTTTGCCAGAATTGGCTGTCTATAGAAACAACAGGAGTTGAGTTTTCATTAGCAAGTGTGAAAAATGTAGATTAAGAAATTTAGATAGCAGCTGGGATATGATATATTGAAGGCCAGCAGGTATAAATGCTTCTGGGCTCTCACCCTCCTTTTGCAACAAGCAAACAAGTGAGCTCACCGCCAGCCCTGACTGCTGCGGCGCCCCCGCCCCCTCGGGGTGCGGTATAGTCAGTGCCCAGTGCAGCGGGGACCCTGCCTTCTCCTCTCTAGGGATTTCCCTGTCCACGTTCAGAACTCTGGTAGGACACGAATTCTTCTCTCTCTCCATGTCCAGCTGTGGTCCCCTTCACCTGTGTTCAACTGGATGCCCTCTGTACCACGTGGCTGCTGGGGCTTTGGGCTTCCTGTAGGGATGGGGGGCTCTGCGTTAGGGATCAGTACAGCAAAAATACCTTCCAATGACATTGTTATTGTTGTTTCATAGTCATATCTCACCCAGCAGTTGGATCAGAAAAAGTCCCCAGTATAGGACTTCAGTTTCTGGTTTAGTTAGTAGTCAGTGGGACAGAGAGGAGCCAGTTACGATAAATGTCACACAACTTGAAGGAACCCCTGAGGCAAGGACAGACCCCTGACTTTGGCTATATGAGCCCGAAGCCTCTTGACTACTGGAAAGTCTCGCTGCCTTGACCTTGGGAAGGCTGACCACCTTCTCTGGGTGGTGGGGAGTGGCCACCAAGGTCTCAGGCACAGAAAGCCTGAGTAACCTTTTCCAAGTGCATGGCGTTTCTGGGGCCTGGGTCTCTGGGGAGCTGTGTTTGATGGCCTCTGGTTCTTAACTTGGCAGGTCCAGGAACTCAATTTTGTCACGGTGTTTTCAGAAGTGTTTGTATCAGGGGCCAGCAGATGGCTGTGGTATCAACAGGATGCCACTGGATTGAGTGTGGCCATTTGACAGCGACCAGAATTTCTTTTCACCTCTGGGCTGAGGGAATTGAATTTGTGGTTGACAGGAGGCTGGGGAGTAGGGCAAGGGGAATGAGACGAAGGGAGAGGACCTTACGTGGATCCGAGATCGGTGAGGCCTGGCGAACCTCCCATAGCGAGCGTCTCCAGTGACCAGAACACGCCCCGTCCTGACAGTAGACCTCTCTGGTGGATAGCCAGGGACAGATGCTGTACGTCCCCCTCTCCGGGTCTTTTACTGCCTTTTGAGCAGAGCACGTTGTAACTGATTTCGGTCTGGCTCCCATGATCGCTGTCACACACAGGACTTCTTTTCCGAGCTCACGCCGGTTATGCCCAGGGAGCCTCCCAATCTCTTTAGCTGCCTACTTCCAGACAGTCTCTGGGGTACTGCCAAAGCTGCCCGTTGTCACCAGCTGCATACGTATATACACACATAAAGTCAATACATGTTTTTAAGTGAACATTTTATCGATACATAATGTAGTGCAGAAAAGTGTACAAATTAAGAGTACAGCTTGATACATTTTCAGTTATTGGAGCTGTAGAGCCAGCACTCAGAGCAAGAAAGAAATCACTGTTGCCTGGCCGATGTGGCTCAGTGGTTGAGCGTGGGCCTGATCCCCAGTGGGGAGCATGCAGGAGGCGGCCAATTGATGTTCTCTCTGATTGACGTTTCTCTCTCTGTCTCCCTCTCCCTTCCTTTCTCTAAAATCAATAAAGAAAAAAAAAAAAAAGAGGTCGGCACCCACGACCTCTCGTGCCCCCTTTAAGCCACTAGCCCCTCAAAAGGAGCTGCTGTCCTGCCCTCTAACATCATAGGTTTAATTACTTTTGCCTGTTTTTGAGCGTTATAGCTCAAAACTCATGGTGCACTCTTCTTCTACATAATAGTTTTTTTTTAAAACTTTTATTGAATTTATTGGGGTGACATTGGTTAATAAGATTATCTAGGTTTCGGGTGCATTTTTGTAATACTTACCAGGCAGGGGAGACACTGTGATTATGACTGCACGCTCTTTTTGCTCAACGTGATACTTGTTTACTTGTTGCACGTAGCAAATAGTACATTGGCAGCATTGCTGCAACATATTCCATTGTAGTAATAGATCATTTGTCAGTGTATTCTGCCATTGGTGAACATTTGGGTTGTTTCAACTTGGGACTATGATAGTGTGGCTATTATCATCTTGTATAGGTCATTAGGGTGAATCAACTATATTTTGAATCTGAGTTTGCTCTCTAAGCTAATTTTATCTCAGAGTTCTGAGAGTACATTATTGTCACTGCCATGGACAGGCTGCAGGACCCTGAGCATCCAGTCAGTGCCCTTTTTGCTATACCATGATGCCCTCTGTGGACGTGGCCAATCTCCTGCCAGGTTGCAAATCCACCCACTAACTAGTCCGTAGTTAGTACTTGAAAGAGTGTGTTGATGAGGGAGTGGAGCCTAAAATATTGGGCTGCAGTGAAAAGCAAAAATGAAGCTTGCTTAGTTCTGTCTGCCTCTGCAGTATCCCACCTGCTGCAATCATTGTGCAAGGAAGGACAAATCGAGGGGGAAAGGCAGGTTTGAGATGCACTAAAGCAAGAGGGTGGAAGGGCCTTCCTGGGTGGGTGTGAGTCACCAGACTTAGAGGTGCATGAAGTTAGGAACCATCTCAACCGCCAGGTGTGGCTGTTGTCTTCCAGAAGAAACCTGGCGGGGACCACGACACGGAGCTTCCTCGGGAGACGGCTGGTGGCTGGTTTCTTTTTCTTTCCTTTGGGAAGTTTTGGCACGCTAGTGAGAGTGAGTACTGCCGGTTCCGAGGGGAGAGGAGAAGGGTTATTGGCACTTGGTCGTCCCCAGGAACCGGGCATCCTTGGCATCTGGACAGCCCTGAAGTGAGCGTCAGGCCCAGGCGAGGGCTGCAGGCTTCTCACGGGCTCTTTGTTGCCCTGGGCACTCTTTTTCTCTGAGCCTTCCTTATGAACAGTGTCCCCCACGAAGACTTTGACTTCGTTTATTTTTTAAATATGTTCTTATTGGTTATTTAGATGGGAAGAAAGGGAAAGAGAGATAGAAACATTGATGTGAGAGAGAAACATTGATTGGCTGCCTCCTGCGCGCCCCCTGCTGGGGATCCAGCCTGCAACCTGGGCATGTGCCCTGACTGGGAATCGAACCGGGACCTCTCAGTTCGTGGGCTGACGCTCAACTACTGAGCCACACCAGCCGGGCTTGGCTTTATTTTTTTTATACCACTCATAACAGTAAAACCACAGGAGCAAGTTGGCATGGCCTAATCCAGAAAGAATATTCTTTAAACTCATTCAAAACCAAGGCTCACTGGTAAGGGTTTCTCTCTTACCATTTTATATAAAAGATGGACATATTTTTTTAGGAATACGGAAGGGGGAAATAGATGTTTGGTGGTATCTAGCACAGGATTAGAGATATGCAGTGGTAAAGAGAATTAAGAGGACCTTTAAGAAATGCCAGAAGGGTTTATTTGCACTCACTGAATTGACTTCAGTTTATTTGCAGTTTTTAAAGACACAGCCATTGCCCTGGCCGGTTTGGCTCAGCGGTTGGAGCGTCGGCCTGCGGTACAGAGAGACCCGGGTTCGATTCCCGCTAAGGGCATGTACCTCGGTTGCAGTTTGTCCCCGGCCCTGGTTGGTCGTGTGGGTGGCAGCCACTCGATGTGTCCCTTCACATCGATGTTTCTCTCTCTCGATCTCTTCCTCTCTCTCCCTCCCGCTCTATCAGAACAAAAAATGGAAAAATGTCCTCGGGTGAGGATAAAAAAAATAAATAAATAAAGACACAGCCATTGTCCAGCTCCCCAGTTTAATTTTAAGGTCTCTTCGGTGGCGTGTGGTTGTTCAGAAATATATGCTTTCTCTTGCCCTGGCTGGTTTGGCTCAGCGGTTAGAGCGTTGGCCTGCGGTCCAGAGAGACCCGGGTTTGGTTTCCACTAAGGGCATGTACCTCGGTTGCAGTTTGTCCCCGGCCCTGGTTGGGTCGTTCAAGTGGCAGCCACTTGATGTGTCCCTTTCACGTCGATGTTTCTCTCTCTCTCTCTCCCCCTCCCTCTCTTTCTGAACAAAAAATGAAAAAATGTCCTCGAGTAAGGATAGGAAAAAAAAAAAGAAAGAAACATGCTTTCTCGTTCCATATTAGTGCCTTATATCTGTCTTTTCACATAGGAATAAGGCAGATTGTCCTGGTCACTGTTTCTGTAAAATGCCCACATCGCCTTGAACATAGCCCTTTAGCCCATGGGGAGGTAACTCAAGCTCCGGCTACTCAGAGGCAGAGCCCAAACTCACCATCCGTACGTTTTCCTTCCATCCAGAAGGGCCTCGTGTGCCCCTCGGCTAGTCGGAGCACGTGACCAGTAGAAAGGAGCCCAGGATCTACTCTGTTCGCTGTGATCCGGTCTGATTCACTCTTGGAAGAAGAATATTTGGGCATATGTAATTCACAATGCAGTCACGTGCACTAGTGAGCTGTTGCTTTGTAACAGATCATCCCAGAATTTAGGAGTTCAAAACAACGAACACTAATTATTTCATGTTTCCTGGGTGCAGCTTGGCTGTGTCCTCTGGCTCAGGCTGTCCCCCAGGGCTGCCGTCACCTCAAGGCCCGACGGGGAGGATCTGAGTCTGAGCTCACTCACCAGGGGCCCGTTGGCCCCAGGCCACCACCGGAGGATGGCTTCAGGCTTCCTTCTGAGAGAGCCCGACAGCAGTTGCTGTTGTTTTGTGATCTTTGGAAGTGATACCCCATCACTTTGGCCTCTTTCTACAAGAAGTCTCCAGGGTCAGCCCCTGCTCCAGGTGACTGTGGGTACCTTGGAGGCAGGGTCACTGGAGCCCTCCAAGAGGCTACCCACCGTACTGGGGTACTGGGATTTATCATAAGAAATGTGTCTTTGAGCTTCCTCCACTGTTCCTGGCTCGCAGCTTCCAAAACCCTTGGCATTTCCTAAGCGATGAGGAGACAAAGGTGTCTTTTGTTACTGAGGTGACTTTTGGAAGCACCTAAGGATGGGGGCTGGTCACCAGCAGAGCCAACCATATCGGGGGCAGAGGGGAGCTGGAGGTCGAATCAGTAATGCAGTGAAGCATAAAACCCCAGCAGGAGAGGGTTCTCAGGCCTACAGAGTAAGCGCCAGACTTGAGATCTGAAGCCAGGTCTGATTCGCTCTCTAAGGAGTTCTTCCCACAACACCGTGGAACTTTTCACTGGCGGCCCCCGGGACTCACCCAGGTTCGAGCGTGGAACTGAGTCACGTTCTTCTCTCAGCTGTCAGTCACTCGGTCTTGTCAAGGTGGATGCCTCAGACTCCAGGCAAGGCTGGGAATAGAGTGGTACCCCTCCTCAGTCTCTTCCAGAACCTTCTTCACACTTTCCTACTTGCCTTTGCTATTTTTCTTCTTCACACAGGAGTTGTTTCAGCTTTTAGGAGTCTCACCCACCCTCACGCTCATGGATGAGGAAGGGCTTGACTACCTGTGCCCCCATGTGCACCAGCCTCGAAGTGGCCCCCTTTCCTCGTCCCAGTTCAGTGACTGTGAACCCATCTGCTTCGGTTAGATGAATGCGTGTGCACCACGCCGGCTGGTTCCACCCCTATGACCTATGGGCAGAGCTGATGGCCACATTATTTAAGAACTTCTGGAGCTGGGACCCGGGGGCCTCCAACCTGGGCAGACATCGGCTTTATTGCTGGCTCATGGCACGGTCCGTGGGTACGGGGAGAGGGCGAGGCAGCTGGGGACACTGAGCCTTGGGGGCAGCGCCTCCCGCAGCCAGCCCAGGGGTGTACCTCTGCAGGCACTGGCGTACACACGCGCCTTCCTAAGAGCAGTTGTTCATGGTACCTTCCATCCCACCCTGTCGGAGCATCCGTGGATCTTCTCTCCACAGACTGACACGGCCCGGCAGAGGCTGGCTGCCTCCGTGTCCCCGCCCCTCCCGGACTTTGGCTCCTCTTGTCCACTCTGGAGGAGACGCTGAGTTCTCAGCTCCTTTGTGGAATCGCAGCTGGTACCCCTCGGCCCAGTTCACTCATTTTCCGACCCGTCTGGCTCAGGAGCTCTTGTCATCTAAGAAGCATCGTGTGGGCTTGCCGCTGTATTTGACGACACTGAGACCCTGTCGTCTCGACCCCGCAGCAGGTGTGCTCCCCCCCAGGGAGACCCGTTGAGAACTCAGGTCTTCGAGAATCGTCCGGGGTAAGCACTCCAGACACGAGCTCGCTACTGAGCAAGGAGGTGCAGAGGGAGCAGTGAAAAGCACCCCCCTTATTTTGGGGGTGTCCCTGCTTGGTAGACGTCTGCATTTTGACACCATCAAGCCTCATAAGACACACAGTGATGTTTTTGGCAGCCATGTGACAGCCCTCTCAGGAAAGTGTCTCAGGACAACGTCCAAGACCATCCCCAGGACTCGACAGTCTCTTGGATTCACTGATTCTGCTGTTGAAATCCCCTGGACAGTGTGGCACAGGAGGAGTGAGGAGTGAGGCCCAAATCCGAGCTGCCTTCCTGACCCCTCTCTGTGCCTCTGTCTCAGATCCCCAGGTGATGCTCCAGCTCTGCCATCTGCTTGGCAAATTCCCAAGGACGTGTGGCAGTCGCGCCCTCCAGAAATGCCACCAGGGTGGCCAGGCCTGCTTCCCGTGCCCAGTCCCTGTGGCGATTGCTCAGGAACTATGTTTTTCCCAGAGGTCGCTCCACTTATTCCTTAAGGCTGTTTCCACAATTTTTTCCAGAACTAATGAACATTATTTTGTCTGTTAACCTCCTCTCTTTAAATTTTAACTAATAGTCGTGTTTGCCACTGGGCAGTCCTCGGGAACCTTGTTCTATTTGAAAATGAACTGAAGCCCTGCCTGGTTTGGCTCAGCGATTAGAGCATCAGCCCGAGGACCTAAGGGTCGTGGGTTCGATTCTGGCCAAGGGCACATACCTGGGTTGGAAGTTTCAATCTCCATTCCCAGTCGGGGTTTGGGGTCGTGCAGGAGGGAACCAACTGATGTGTCTCTGTTACATCAATGTTTCCCCCCACCCCCACCCCCATGGAAAAATATCCTCAGGTGAGGATCAACAACAACAAAAAATGGAAATGAACTGAAAAGATGTTTATTTCAGAAGTCTGTGGCTTAAAGGACACTGCAGAGACTATATGAAAGTTTAACCCCAGAAAAGACACTTGAAAAGTGCAACTAGATGAGGGAGGTGGGGAGAAGGCATGAATTGGTCAACAACAGGGTCGTCTTCAGTTTTTGCCCAGTGAGTTCTAGGACTTTCACAAAAAGTGCATCATTGGTCTCAGCCGTACCTGGCACAGACACTCAGACTTGCGGTGTTCTCTGTCCTGTGCCCTGTACTCTGAGGTCCCTGTCCAGCTGCGTGATGGGAGCGTGTACCAGAGCAGCGCACGCCCTTCCACACGGGCTCAGCCCGCCCTCTTCTCACGGGAAGCGAGTTATTCCGTGGGCCCAATGTGCACATTTTAGGAAACTTGTCTTTTTTCACACGTGAGAGATTTGCTTTAGCTTTCTACCCGTCAGACCCCCCAGTACCGAAGCAAGTCAGGTGAAGACCGTCTGTTCTGAAGTCACAGGAGCAGTCTTCACCACTCGGGCTCACAGCTCGGCTCCCAGGGACTCTGGAAGCCAGCCTGCTGTACGTCGAACTCCCGGAGCTTGTTCTTGATTGAGTGTAGTCGGGAAGCCGAGCCCAAGAGAAATGTGCTGGATTTTGGAGTTCATGGGTGCTGAGCCGTGGAGGACCCTGTGTGTCCCTAGAAGTGCAGAAACCAGAATGTGGCCTGCATCCCTTGCCTGGAGTCCCACGCGTCGGTGGCTGTCTCTTTCCTTGGCCAGCAGCCACTTCCCACCGCGCCGCCCGAGCCGGGCTTCAGCCCGTGCTCACAGCGGTCAGGATCCTGCATCCTGTGCCCGGCTGTCCTTTTGGCAGGTCCACGAATCGGCTCTTTCCTGCCCATCTGCTGGCGATGCATCCTCGAGAGGTGCCGTCACCCATGACTCCTGAGCCTGTCGTCTCCTCAAACTCGGCAGGTCTCGGAAGCTAAACCAAGTTTCAGGCCTTCTTACTTACATAGTGATGGTGATTGAGACCCTTATAAAAAGGTGAAAACAGATGCAACTGTTACTACACTCTACCGAGCGAATGTGGAGGCTTCACTGTGTCACAGCTCAGGGACCGTGTCATGGGTGCATGGGCTCTGAAGACGCACTGGTCTGGCTTGAATGCCGGTCCTGAACTTGACCGGCTGGGCTGTGTCAGCCAGGTCAGTGAGCCTCTGAGGGCTGTTTCCTCCTCTGTAGACCGTCTCAATAATACCACGGTCATAGACTTTGTAGAGAACACAGGGCATATTATATGTGAAACTGCTTGAAACATCGGTTCTTGATAAAAAAAATGTCATTTGACCTTCTCCCTGCAGTCTCCCTGGCTTGCTGCCTGTCACTTTAAAAACTGTGTAACCACATCCATGTGTCTAGCAAGGGTGGACCCTCCCCTGTATCTGTCTGTTCTGACCTGGCCTTCTAATGGGCTGGATAATGACATGGAAGGAGTCAGTCCTCCCCACTGTTGGGCGAAGGGAAGGCCTTCATCATTTTTAGTGCAAGGACACTTTATAAAAGAGAATAGTCAATACCACGGGCAGTGTTTGGGTGAGGAAAAAATGAATCCATTCACAAACACTGAGGAGGGAAAAATAAATCAGCAGTCCTCAGCTGCAACCCCGTGTCCAGAAACTCTTGCAGAAGTTAATTTTGTTCCCTTTCCTACCAAATGTGTTCTCGGAAGCTGTCTGCACCTGGTGGCCCCCAGCTTGGTGTCAGGGGGGTCCCTGGGCTTGTTAATCAGCTTGCCTTATTGTGTTTTTATTTCTCTCTCTGGGGGTAATATACTTTTTTTTTTTTTTAAATAAATGTGTAGCCTTTTTCTTCGCTAGTGAAAAGCATCATATTTCCATTTCATGTACGTACCATGGGTTGTTTTTCAGATTACGGTGTCTCGACTCCTGACACCGCCTTGTTTTGTGAGGTTACGACAGAAAGAGCCTGCTGTCCGGACTCAGGTGCGGCTCCGCCTACACCGTCGTCTGTGTTTAGCCCCTATCCGTCCTGTTATTGGTTCTAAGAGGTTTGTGATGATTATGTTGAACACCAAAATCAGTTCCTCTTCATTCTTAGGGAAATAGCATAAAGGAAAATGTACGTGGTGATTCTTCCTTTGCAAAAGGAAGGAGGTGGCCCTCGTTGTCCCCCAGAAGGAGGAGGAAATGAACTGTGGCAGTGGGGTGAGAAGCACTGTGGTGGGACAGGACAGTGCTGTCAGCAGAGTGGGGAGGGCACTGAATGGGTGTCTGCTTATCCCCACACACGCTTTCTGGACGTCTTTCAACTGAGCGACGGTCTTTACTATAACGCATCTTACAGTCACCGCACACAGCGTGGATCCCTACCACTCAGGTCTGCTCTGGTGATTCTATTAGATCTAGTTTAGCAAGTGTTTCTTGAGTGCCTACTCTGCAGCAGGGAGTGTCTGGGGCACTGGGCATACAGCAGGGACCTCTCTCTGGACAATGGTGTCCAGTCCTGGAAGGTCTGATAAGACTCTGCCTTCTTGCTCATCAGTCAACCATTGGAGGCCTGGAAACAGTAAATATAGGGGAGGGTTTTGTATCCTTATTGATGCCCTTCCTCTTAGCTGGTTTCCCAAAGCAATTTACAGATTCAGTGCAATTCCTACCAAAATACCAATGTCATCCTTCTCAGAACTAGGACAAATAATCCTAAAATTTATGTGGAACCACTGAAGACCCTGAATAACCAAAGCCATCTTGAAAGAAGAACAGAGGTGGAGATGTCATGCTCCCTGATCTCAAACTATACAACAAAGCTATAATAACCGAAATAGTATGGTACTGGCACACAAAGCAAACACATAGATCAATGGAACAGAATAGAGGACCCAGAAATTAACTCTTGCTTATATGGTCAATTAATCTATGATAAAGGAGCTAAAAATATACACAGGAGTAATGACGACAATCTCTTCAACAAGTGGTGTTGAGACAAATGGACCTGCAAAAAATAAAAATAAAACCAGACCACTCTCTATTACACCATATACAAAAATAAACTCAAAAGGGGTTGAAGCTTAAATGTAAGGTCTGAAGTCATAGAACTCCTAGAAGAAAACAGAAAGTAAACTTTCTAGCACCAGTCTGAGTAATATCTTTTTGGACACATCTCCTCGAGCAAGGGAAACACAAGAAAAAATAAACAAATGGGAATACATCAAACTAAAAAGCTTCTGCCCAGCAAAGGAAACCACCAACAAAACAAAAAGGCAACCGACTGACTGGGGAATCTATTTGCAAGTGATACATCTGATAGGGGCTGATACCCACAATATACAAGGAACTCATACGACTCAATAAGAAGGCAGTTTGGGGCAGAGAAATGCTGGTTTGTTTACACACTAGGCGGAAACCTTTGGCTTCCTGGAATTTTAAATCAAACTCAAAATCATTTGGCAAAAACTTTGAAACACCAGTTTTCCCTAACAAGCCCTTTCACTTTTTTTTTTCCTCACCTGAGGACATTTTTTGATATTTTGTTCAGATATAGTGGGAGGGAGAGAGAGAGAGAAACATCAACGTGAAAGGGACACATACGACCCAACCAGGGCCAGGGACAAACTGCAACCGAGGTACATGCCCTTAGCGGGAACCGAACCCGGGTCTCTCTGGACCGCAGGCCGACACTCTAACCGCTGAGCCAAACCGGCCAGGACTCCTTTTACTTTCTTAATGGTAGATGGGTATAATGGGCTGTTTACACACTTTGATTTAAAGCTTGTATTTTTCCTTTTTTTTTTTTTTAATCCTCCTGAGGAAATTTTTTTTTTTTTTTTGCATTTATCTTCAGACAGAGCGGGAGGGAGAGAAGGGGGAAGAGAGAGAGAGAAACATTCATGTGAGAGAGACACATCGACTGGCTGCCATCCACACAACCCTAACCGGGGCTGGGGACAAACTGCAACCAAGGTATGTGCCCTTAGCGGGAACCGAACCCGGGACTCTCCGGTCCGCAGGCCGACGCTCTAACCGCTGAGCCAAACTGGCCAGGGCATGAAGCTTGTATTTCTAAACTACAGATTCCCATGTTTTCTGTCTATAACTAGACCTGTCTGGGTGGTCTGGGAGCCCCAGAGTTAACCATCAGGACTGACTTTGTCACATAGGAGCTCTACAGGATTCAGGCAAGGCCGGGTTGTGTTCGGAGACATCCCTGTTGTGTGTCGGCCTCTAGCTGGGAGGCTTGCAGGGAAAAACCAGATTCCTCAGGGCTGTCCTCAGTAGGGTGGGCTCCCCCTGCCTTCTCCCCGTAGTGAGCCTGGAAGCTACAGTTGTCAGATGGGACAGTAGATGGAGATGGTTGTAAAAAGGAGCCTGTAGAGCGTTTGATGACGCGGTGAGTCATCTTTACAGCCTGCACATTTATAAGTGGGGTTCTGCTCTCACCCCCTTCGCTCTGGGTGTGAGTTATTTCTTCCAGTTTGCTCGTTATATTCCCCCCTTTGGTCCCTGGGCCTGTTTATTTAAATTCCATCTTCTACATAATATTGGTAGATTCATCATTATGTGCAACTAGTCAGAAGGGGCTTTGCAAACACAGGGTGCTGCCGTGGGTGTCTTGTAAGGGGAATGGCACCCTTGGGAGTTTTATGAAATCACCTATTGGTTTTCTCCCATTCTAGAGTTGCAAGTGGATGTTATTTCTGTGTCTGCTTTTCCCTGTGTTTGCCTCCAAGCAGAGTGCTTATCTTTGCCCTGTGATGGTACATTTCTATGTGTGTGATGAAGGAACAAATCATACAACTGACGGTGTTTATGAACACCATCACCTGCCTACAAATGAAAAATACATTTATTTTATAGTGACTCATATGAAAAGGAAAAAGATCCTTTTTATTCCAACCGCCACTCTTCACAACGCAACTCTGTTATTATTTCAGACATGTGAGTCATTGGCTCATATTATTTCATTTTGTGATCATTGGCCTTAACTGTGTATTATGGAAATGCATTGCAATGAAGACTCTGAGATTTCTGAAACACAGAAGCCCTCTGGGACACAGCATCAGTGAAGCCAGGCCACTTACGCTTCCTGTAGAAACGTCAGTTGCCAACCTCATTTTGATGTGTAGAGAATTGTATTCGCACGCTCACGCTTTCCCACGTACGGAGCAAAGATGCCAAGCCCAGGCCGTGTTGTAGTTCTGGGTCCTGAGCTAAATGAACAGGATATGTCTGCGTGTGACTCCATTTGCAGCAAAATATTAACAGATGACTCGCCTGTTTTGATACGGAAAAAGATTCTCCACTCTGTGCCAACGGCCACTTGGTTTTAGTGCTTCTGCTGCATTCGTTAATATTGTTTTGTTTTTGTTTTCAAGGACAGCTAATCTTCCCCCCAAGAATGTCCTGTGGAAAAACAGAGAGACCTAGCTACCCAATAATGAAAGCCAGGTTTTCTGAAATGTTTAAGAAATTAATTTAGTCCCAGGATTCTGTCCAAGGAATCCGTTTTATGTCAAATGACAACAGTCTCTAAATATGAACGCAGAGTTACCAAAAGTACAGATTCTGGATGTCAGCATCCGTTTGATGGTAACACGATTTTGTCATAATTAATGACAAAACACACTCATTGCATGGTCTCAGGTAATATAGCACCCAGAAAACAGTTCCATCCTTCATGGATAAAGATCCAAGCACGAAGAATTGTTTTTTTCTAAAGATCTGAGAAGATTGTTGTTGGAACTGAGAAAACTCCTCCCAGCCTTTGGCTACATTTCCTACTTGTTACCTGGAAGACTCTGTCTTTACCTCTAGTGCACAGTGAGTCAACCGTTTATAAACGACATTCAGTCACCATATAGGAAGTCAGACAGCTGCCCTGGCCAGCTTGGCTCAGTGGTTGGAGCATCAGCCCACGGGCTGAAGGGTCGTGGGTTTGATTTCCAGTCAAGGGCATGTATCTGGGTTGCAGGCTCAATCCCTGACCCCAGTCGGGGTCGTGCAGGAGGCAACCAATCCATGTGTCTCTCTCACATCAATGTTTCTCTCTCCCTCCCTCCTTTCCTTCCATTCTATCTAAAATCAATGGAAAAATATTCTTGGGTGAAGATTAACAAAACAAAAGAAAGTCAAACAGCCCTCAGGGATGTGCCCGATAGGAGGGGACTGTTCTAAGGGTGTTCATCCCATGATCGTCTGTGGTCTGGTGCCCCCATAGCTCATGCCTCTTCTGTTATGAAAATGGCTTCAGGTCCCCGTGTTTTCCCTTCTGTCGCTTTCCCACTGAGCTCTCTGAAGACAAGATGCTCAGAGCCCGTTTTCTGCGTGGCCTGGGCTGAATGTCGGTCGCGTGCGTCAGACAGAAAAGAGGACTCCATTTGGTGCTCATAGCTTGGCGGCTGCATCATCATCTGTATCAAATCCAGACCCGCGGGGAAGGAGTGCTCCTCCTCACAGATGGCACTCAGAATTGGGGATCCCTGCCCAGTTGCTCAGAAACGGGAAGGAGCCATTTCTGAGTGGTCTGACTCGGGCTAAGGGTTTTCTTCGCTCCTCGGGGCCGTAGCGGTTACTCCCGGCCGGTGGCTGTGGGTGGCAGAGATCTCCCCCGGGTCTCGCCTCCTTCCCGAGGTCTAGCAGACTGTCGTGGGCAGGGTCCGCTCACTGCCTCGTCTTTACCAGAGAGACTGCAGACCACTCAGGCTTTCTGAGCAGCAGCTTAAAGGGGTCCGTGTGGCACTGACCTCAGGATTTGCTTAGGGAAGGGAATGCTGCTGCTTTTACGAAGAGTTATCCGAGATTTCACGGAAAAACTAACACGGGTCTTTGTCACACAGAGGCTGGCAGGACAGGACTGTCACAGAGCACCTCGTATTGCACAAAGTTGTACCAACATGAGATGTTTCATCTGCTAGACCGTTAGTGTGCGGAGGGGTGAAAGGTTCTAGTTAATGCTGGGAATGTGTTCATTTACACACTCAACTCAGGGACCTCAGGAGAGTCCACCCTTCCAAACTCAGCCGCGGACGCCTCCCGGACAGGGCAGAGCCCT